GCGCGCGCGTGTGGTGATTTTTGAGTCCAATAGGTCTAGCCCATTTTGCCGATAACCTCCATCTCTACAAAACTTGGGTACCCTTTGGGGCACACCCCAACCCAACCTCACACCACGCAATCGTGCCCAAGCCCAAGCCCAGCCCACCCAGACGGCGCATGTGTGTGGTGATTTTTGGGTCCAATGGGTCTAGCCCATTTTGCCCATAACCTCCCTCTCTACAAAACTTGGGTACCCCTTAGGACACACCCCAAGTTCCAATCCCATGCCTTATAAACCCACTCAAAACTTCCCACCAAATCAATGTGGGACAAGCCATTTTTCAAGCCTTTGAGGATTTTTCACAAAAACTCCATTTCCATGGAGCACACTTTGGCTTCATTTTCCCATTCACTTGATAATGGTTTTGAGCAACCAAATATACCATGTGAATCACAACGCGGCATAGAACGCGTTACCACTTTGAGTCACGAAAATCGACACACGAATCCCACCTAAATAAAAGACCAAAGTTAGGAAAAATTCTGTTTTTCTAGAATTTTTCACAACCATTTCTAACAGATAATTTATACATGAAATTATGAACACGGGAAGCTCATGAATGGGAAAAACTCATGAACTCAATTTAAATCATATACTCGTGATCTCTCTCTTTCTCTGAAAATTATTTGGGAAAGTCATGTACTCGTATTGACCAGCTCCAAAATTAGTTTGAGGTTTAATAATTTTAATGCACGACTGGGATGATGTTATACCAAATTTAACATTTCTTTTTATTTAATAATATCTATCCTCCTAAATAAGTTGAGATCATGTGTATAGTGTGCAGTGTTTGTAAAAATATTATATTAATGCATGAAATATGCTCATGGAATCCAAGTCTCCATGTGACAGCTGGTGATGGAGCCCGGATCCTCGGCCGCTCATTCCTGCAGTGTGTCCTGCAGCACCCCCAAAACGACGTCGTTTTGGGGGAAATTTCATTAAAAAAAAAAAAGAAAAAAGGAAGAAGAAAGAAAGATAGAGTAGATGCAAACGAGAGGGAGAAGAAGGATCTGTGCTTTCCCCTTTTCTTATTTTGAACCCTAGCCTCTGAGACAGAAGAGGTGACGAGAGAGAGAGAGAGAGAGAGAGAGAGAGAGTCGGCGAACGGAGGTGACGGAGGCAGAAGCAAGGCGAGGTGAGGGCAGTGGAGGCGACGAATGGAGAGGCTACGGAGGTAAGGCGAGGCGAGGAGAGGCAGCGGTGAGGCGACTGAGGTGGCGGTGAGGTAACTGAGGCGGCAAGACACGAAGAGAGGGGCCTGAACAATTAACTAATTCTTTTCTTTGAGGATATTCTGGACGAAATTTTTAGTAAATTTAACCTGTAAATTTTTTTTCTTTTTGTTGAATACTTGACAGCTGAAATTATATTTGTAAGTCATTTAACATTTTGGATTTGGAGCATCACTATTGTAGGTGAGATTATTTGAATCTTTGATCAGTTGAATGTGTGGGTATGTGGGGATCAAAGTGAAAGAGGAAGATGAAAGTGAGTTGCTGATAGAGGAAGATGAACATAACATATGAGCTGCTGATAGAGGAAGATGAAAGTGAATGAATCAAATTTCAGGAAGGAAAAAAAAAAAAAAACAAGCAAACAGAGCCTCATCTTCTTGATTACATTTGTGTGTTTTGATTTATATATATATATATATATATCCTCTCTATGTTTTTTCTAGATGTTCTTTCCATATAGATGGTCCCTAAGATCTGTTCCATATAGATGTGTTTTGATTCTCCCTCCGTTGCTCCATAGATCTGTTTTATGTGATTTCAATTTTTTTTTTTTTTGGTAAAATTGTTTGTATATTTGTGTGTTTTGATTTATATATATATATATATCCTCTCTATGTTTTTTCTAGATGTTCTTTCCATATAGATGGTCCCTAAGAGGTCCATTCGTAAACCAAGATCATTTCTGAGTCCTCATCACAATAACCAATCAACGACACCAAATGGCGATGCCTGAGCTTCGATAGCATCAGAATCCCTGTTTGGAACTCATTGATGCCTTGTTCGGATTGTGGGTTGCCTCGTTTGACTGCCGCTTCCTCCTTCTCCCTTCTTTCTTCTTCTCCCTTCGTTGCTCCTGTTCTGTCTTTTTTTTTTTTTTTTCTAATTTAAAAATATCTTTTGCAGTGTTAATTTTTATCAAATTAGTTTCTAATTTTTCAACCCAAAAAAAAAATCAAAAAACAAGTCCTGAAAACTCTGCAAAAAACAGGGGGGCAAAAACCTTTCAGGCAACAGGTACAGCAAGTAAAACTCACAAGCTGTTCCTGGAACATAATAAATTGCAATAACTGAGGTTCAGTAATTAAAATGCAAAATTACCCATCAGCACAGATGATTGGTAGCAGTCTGAGGAGAAACTGCAAACGCAATGACATGGAAACTCGCAATGCTGCAGGGGAAGGTGGTACAGTATCAGCAGTTGCTGTTGATCAAATTTCAAATGTCATTAGTTTTTTTTTTTTTTTTTTTAAATCAGCAAAAAAGGAATTTTATTGATGCAAAAGAATTACAATATACATCAATAAAGAAAATGGATGCACAAGCAATATGATCCCAACTAAGTTGACACCATAGAACAAACCCAATCATCTACAACATCAAATCGGGTTGGTGAGCAACCAACCAAAAAAGAGACAATCCCCAAAGAAACAAGAAACCAAAAATAAATCCTTAGATACACTAGCAGCAGCAGCAGTAGCATAGAGCCATACCAGTAGCCAAGTTGACAAATCAGCCACCTTAATCAACTACAAACTCTAACAACTACAAGATCTTGTCTTCTGGGATCTGGGATCCGAGATTTGGAATCCGGGATCGGCTTACTTGGGCTGAGCTCTTGTCTTCTCATATCCAGTGTTATCTCGGCTTGACAGGTGAGGTCACCTCGGCATCTTGTCACTTTTTCTGGAGGTAATCCCCCAGATCCTCCTTGGTTCGTCTAGGAGCTCAGCTATCTCCGAATTCTAGCCTCTTTGGTGCACTACTTCCTGTGTCATTGTGAGTCCTTTTGGACCTCCCTCCATTGGTCGTGTCGAAACAGAGGTCCTTTCCCTGAACATGCCGATGTTCTTTGGAGTCAGCTTCCTTGGTGCGATGTGTCCTTTGTGAATCTGCCCTTCTTGATTCTCCTCGTCCGACCTCCCTTGAAGGCCGATGAGAATGTTCCTTGGTCCTATCGTGCTGAGAAGTCGTAGGAGTTGTCTTCTGTCCCCTTGCCTAGGCATCTTTCTTGGCTGCTGGAATCGGCATATCTTGTGACGGGAACGGTGGCTGCATGACGTTGTTCTGTATCATGAAATTGACAACCGTTTACAGGTCTGCCAATTTGTTTGCCATTTCTTTCATCTCGTCGTCCCTTCATAAGCATCTTTCTTTCCATACCAGGAGGTCGTCCTCGTTATAATATTCGCTTCGGTCTGATTTCTTCGGCACGTCGCCCTCCTGGCCGACGTCCTTTTCTCCGTGATTCTTATCACGAGTTTCTTCATTGTAGTTGTCTTCTTCGACGCCAAGGTCAATATGTTTCCCACTCTCGGTAGGGGTGTCGTCCCCAACCTTCTCTTTCGGTTTGTCGTTGGCCATCTATTCTCTTTTCGTTCCCACAGACGGCACCAAATTGTGTGGGTAATTTTCTGACCACATTGCCAACTTAGTACTCAATTGGCGAACACCGGCAGAATAGATTAAGCCCGAACGACCTGCAACAGAAAGAAGAGTTTCCGGTGGTGGCTCGTCCACCCGGGGGCACTCCGACGATCAAGTCAGTACTCTATATCTCTCAAAGATAACCAATAGTGCTTAACTCACTAGACAGAGTATCAAAAGCATAAAAGACATACCTTAGACCCATGGGGGTGCCTCCATTTTATAGCCAACATAATTCTAGTCCCAATAGAAGCCTAGCTCTAATGGACTTAGGATTACTGCTAATCTTGGACTCCCAGTAGGATTAGGATAAACTCTCTAAGAGTCTTATCTTTACCCAAACTGAAGTCTTCTCCCATTCTAGGACTCTTGTCCCTTATCCACTTATCTCGGATTTTGGTTTTCTCGCAGATAACCTCGGCCTAGCCGAGATCATCTCGGCATCATGACCAGGACACGTGGCACCTCAGCCATGTGTTGTCATTCAAAAATTATGTCCCCACAATGACAATATAATTTTGTGTTAATGTTAATTACAAAAAAACATAAAAATTTAACTACTATAGCATCAAATACAATAATTTTTTTGTTAGTCATCAAATCCCACGTGGATAATTAAACGTCTCAATCAAATACAAAAATAAAAATTTAACTACTATCTCAATCAAATAGACATTCATTCCATCAAAACTGCCAAACAGCTTCTTGCAAACTTCACAACCACCGTAAAAGCTACAATGACTTCACAGACTTCCATGACAAAGCAAAATCCAACCAGAATTGGGTTAAGTACATATATTTCTAATAAGTAACATGGAAGTTTTATTTTAGCAGAGTGTATTCTAATTTTTGGCCTAATTCTTCTTTTGATGATCGATTCAACCTTATATTTCAACTCACCAACAAGTTTAGTGATGAGTGTAACGGCCCTATTGTTCTAATGGAGAAAAAAAACCTAAGATTAGCTTTCTAGGAAATTTCCAAATGAACCAAATAAAAAGGCATCAAGGAAGTTTCACCTGTATATACTAAATGTGTGTATACATATATATGAACTCTCCAGATAAAGGTCCTCCCTCTCTTTAACCTAATCAAACAAAATCTTTAATGATAACTATTTAACACAACCACATAATCTATGCCTTCAAAAGAGTGCCCTTTCTATCCCCAAGTACACCACATTTTTCTTTGTTTTTTTTTATTAGCTTCTTTCCCCAAATGCACCAAATCAATCAAAGAGGAGCAACATTCCAATTCTTTTTGCTTAGCTTACCAAAAAACACCCTTTTCACCCACTAGTAACTTCTGCTAACATTCTGGACAACCCCCATAAAGCCTCAGAATCAAGGCCCACAGATGGCTAGCAATACAAAAACATACCAAGTTGAAAATTGAAATCCACTGTGAAAATAAAAAATAAGATTTAAACAACTTCCTAGTAAGTGATAGTAAAACAAAATAAACAATAAAACATAATTCTACCTCTGTTTCATAGGTTGCCTTGCATTGTAAATTGAAATACACTGTGTGGCAGGAACTCCTAGACGAACCTTCTTCTTAGGGAGCCCATCCTCATCCTCCTTAATATTCAATCTACTTCGTTTTTGACCAACTTGATATACAATCTACCAATGATTACACAAACAGGATTTGTTAATAGCAAGGTACACAAGAAAAGGAATCATAGTCATAAATTCAAAGGTCACCAGAATCACCTTTTGAGCACCATCAGTGATTATTGGCCTTATAGCAGGATTTGGTCCAATCAGTCCCTCGAACAGGGAGATTTGCTTGGAATAGTTAGGCTCTTCATCAAATTTCATGTCAATCACAATTTCAAGAAATTGTTTTAGTGGTGCAGGGCAGAGGCAGCACATCATTTCAGGAGACGTTGCTATCTTCTTGATATTAGAGGTCCCTATCGAGAGAATTGGCCATTAACTAAAGTATTTTATTGCTGTCTAAAGTCAGGATTATGGTTACTTTAACAATCTGGACCCACCAACCAAAGAATAAAAAAGTTAAAAAGTGAAGACCTTGTTACTAATATACAAAGATTAAAAAAGAGAAAAAGTGAAGACCTTTGTTAAAATAATTTTTTTTTTATAGTTAATGAATTTTTTTATTTATTTTTCATTTTCTTTTAGTTATTAAGGTTGAAAATTTATTTGTTTCATTTTATTTTAATGAATAAAAAATTATTATTATTATTTTTATTAGGTAGAAGTAGGGATAATATTTTAATGAAAAATATTTTCCATTAAAATAAAGTTAATTTTTTGTGGTCAATGAAAAATATTTTTTTGCGGCCCATTTTTTTTTTTTTTTGTTACTAAAAATCAAGAACTAATTTTTTGTGGTAGAGGATAGGGAGTGGCAGTAGTGGTGAAGGTGGTAGATAAGAGGTGATAGTGGTGGTGGTAGTGGTGGCGAAAAGAGATTAGTGGTGAAGTTGTGGTAGTGGTAGTGGTAGAGGAGATAGAGTAGCGGTAGTGGTGGAGAGGTAATGGTAGTAGTAGTGGTGGTAGTGGTGTAGTGGCGATGGTGGTAGTAATGATAGTCGTAGAGGTGGAGTGCCAACAGTGGTAGTAGTGGAATGGCATTTGCAATAGTGATGAAGGTGGTAGAGGAGATGGGTGGTGAGAGACAGATAGAGGAGAGAGAGAGAGAGAGTGATGAGTGAGAGAGACAAAGTGGTCGCTAAAAGTGCATTTTCTTGTAGTGGAGAGCTCGGTAAATAGAGAAGATGAGAGGGAGAGAGTGAGCAAAGTGAACACAATGGAGGAGAGAGATAGATAGATAGACAGACACATAAAGAGAAAGAGAAAGAGAGAGAGAAGAGTGATGAGTGAGAGAGAGACAGAGAAAGAAAGAGAGAAAGAGATAGAGAGAGAGACAGACAGAAAAAGAGAAAGAAACAAGAGATGAGCGAGAGATAGACAATGAGAGAGAGAAAGAGAGCGAAAAGAGATGATCGAGAGAAAGACATAGAAAAATAGAGAGACAGAGAGAGAAGAAAGATGAGCGAGAGAGACAGAGAGAGAAATAGAGAGAAGAGAAATGAGCGAGAGATAGAGAGAAGAGAGATGAGAGATGAGCGAGAGACAAATAGAGAAAAAGAGACAGAGACAAAGACTGACAGACAGAGACAAGTGATGAGTGAGAGAGAGAAGAGAGAGAGAGAGAGACAAAGAGAGAAAGACATAAAGAGTAAGAGACAGAAAAAGAGACAAAGAGAGAAGAGAGATGAATGAGAGAGACATATAGAATTGAGATGAGCGAGAGAGACATAGAGAGAAGAGAGATGAGAGAGATAGAAAGAAAAGAGATGAGCGAGAGAGATAGAAAGAGAAAAGAGATGAGAGAAGAGATAGATGAGTGAGAGACACACAGAGAGAAAGAAAGACAGACAGACAGACAGAGAAGAGTAATGAATGAGAGAGAAAAAGAGAATAGAGAGAGGAAGATGAAAAAATGGGTGAAAAGAGATAGACAGAGAAAGAGAGAGAAAACGAGCGAAAAGAGATAAACAAGAGAGAGACAGAGAGAGATGAGCGAGAGAGCAAGAGAGATAAAGAGAGAGAAGAGAGATGAGAGAGCAGAGAGATGGACGAGAGACACAGAGAGAAAGAGAGAGAGACAGAGACAGACAAACAGACAGAGAAGAATGATGAGTGAGAGAGAGAAAAAGAAGAGAGACAGAGACAAAGACACAAAGAGAAAGAGAGAGACAGACAGACAGACAGAGAAGAGTGATGAGTGAGAGAGAGAAAAAGAAGAGAGACAGAAACAGAGATAGAGAGACAAGAAGATGAAAAAATGGGTGAAAAGAGAAATATTATATCAAAAGAGTAAGACGACGTCGTTTTTTTTTTTGTGACAGAAAAATACCATTGCATTTATTTAAATCATTTTGTGACTATATATATATGAAGCCGTCTCAAAGCCACAATATATATATATATATATTTTACTATTTTTTTTTGTGTGCAACGGTACCTATTAAGGTCGCAAAAAACTCTTCTTTTTTTTTTTTTGCGACTGTAGCTGGTACCATTGCAAAAACTCTATTTTTTGCGACGGCAAGTTGTGCAGTCTCAAAAAGTCACATTTTTTTTTGCGACGGCAAGTTGTGCCGTCTCAAAAGGTCACATTTTTTGCGACGACAAATTGTGCCGTCTCAAAAGGTCACATTTTTTGCGACGGCAAGTTGTGCCGTCACAAAAAATGACTTTTTGCGACGACAAATGTGCCGTCACAAAAAGTTCCGTCTCATAAGCCCACTTTTCTTGTAGTGTTACTTAAAAAGTGTGATTAAAAAGTAGAAGTGTATATGAAATCACACTTTAATTAAAAAGATGTGATTAAAAAATATATAAATAATCACACTTTAATTAGAATGTGTGATTAAAAAATATATATATAATCACACTTATTTAAAAAGTGTGATTAAAAAGTAGTAATGTATATATAATCACACTTTTAATTAGAAGGTGTGATTAAAAAATATATATATAATCACACTTGTTTAAAAAGTGTGATTAAAAAGTAGTAATGTATATATAATCACACTTTTAATTAGAAGGTGTGATTAAAAAATATATATATAATCACACTTGTTTAAAAAGTGTGATTAAAAAATAGTAGTGTATATATAATCACACTTTAATTAAAAGGTGTGACTAAAAAATATATAAACAATCACACTTTAATTAGAATGTGTGATTAAAAAATATATATATAATCACACTTGTTTAAAAAGTGTGATTAAAAAGTAGTAATGTATATATAATCACACTTTTAATTAGAAGGTGTGATTAAAAAATATATATATAATCACACTTGTTTAAAAAGTGTGATTAAAAAGTAGTAATGTATATATAATCACACTTTTAATTAGAAGGTGTGATTAAAAAATATATATATAATCACACTTGTTTAAAAAGTGTGATTAAAAAATAGTAGTGTATATATAATCACACTTTAATTAAAAGGTGTGACTAAAAAATATATAAACAATCACACTTTAATTAGAATGTGTGATTAAAAAATATATATATAATCACACTTGTTTAAAAAGTGTGATTAAAAAGTAGTAATGTATATATAATCACACTTTTAATTAGAAGGTGTGATTAAAAAATATATATATAATCACACTTGTTTAAAAAGTGTGATTAAAAAGTAGTAATGTATATATAATCACACTTTTAATTAGAAGGTGTGATTAAAAAATATATATATAATCACACTTGTTTAAAAAGTGTGATTAAAAAATAGTAGTGTATATATAATCACACTTTAATTAAAAGGTGTGACTAAAAAATATATAAACAATCACACTTTAATTAGAATGTGTGATTAAAAAATATATATATAATCACACTTGTTTAAAAAGTGTGATTAAAAAGTAGTAATGTATATATAATCACACTTTTAATTAGAAGGTGTGATTAAAAAATATATATATAATCACACTTGTTTAAAAAGTGTGATTAAAAAGTAGTAATGTATATATAATCACACTTTTAATTAGAAGGTGTGATTAAAAAATATATATATAATCACACTTGTTTAAAAAGTGTGATTAAAAAATAGTAGTGTATATATAATCACACTTTAATTAAAAGGTGTGACTAAAAAATATATAAACAATCACACTTTAATTAGAATGTGTGATTAAAAAATATATATATAATCACACTTGTTTAAAAAGTGTGATTAAAAAGTAGTAATGTATATATAATCACACTTTTAATTAGAAGGTGTGATTAAAAAATATATATATAATCACACTTAATTGAAAAGTGACATAAAAAATAAATATTATCACACTCAATCAAATTAAGTGTGATTAAAATATCAATCTAATTTTTTTTATCACACTTCCAATAAAAGTGAGATCTTTTTTTTTTGTCAAAGTGTGATCTTTAACTATTTTTGTAGTAGTGGATACAGTTTGGTGGATAAGAGATGATGGTGGTGATGGTGGTGGTGGTGGTGGTAGCGAAAGAGATTAGTGGTGAAGTTGTGGTAGTGGTAGAGTAGATGAAATGGCACGGGTGAATGAGAGGTAATGGTAGTAATAGTGGCAGTAGTGGTAGTGGTGGCAATGGTAGTAGCAATAGTAGTCGTAGAGGTGAAATGGCGACAGTGGTAGTAATGGTGGTAGTGGAATGGCGTTTGCAGTAGTGGTGAAGGTGGTAAAGGAGATGGGTGGTGAGAGAGAGAAAAATGAGTGAGAGACAGATAGAGGAGAGAAAGAGAGAGAGAGAGACAAAGACAGAGAGACGATGAGCGAGAGAGAGACAAAGTGGT